CCAGGGACTCATATAAGCTATAAGGTCTTGCGTGGTCCCTCAGGTCTCTGGTCAAAAGTCTGACTTGCTTTCATGGACCATGTGGCCTCCTATGCACAAACTATGTATATATATACATACATACACACACACATACACACACACACACACACACACACACAGCTGTCTTAAAAAATAAGATGGAGAGCCAGTGGGATGGCTCAGTGAGTAAATGTACTTACCACCAAGCCTGATGACCTGAGTTTGAGCCCCAGGACCTTCTGGTGGAAGGAGTGAATCAGCTTCCTCAAGGTCCCCCATCTACCCACAAACAAATAAATAAATTTTAAAAGGTTAAAAAATATATAACCTTGGAACCACCACTCTTTCAGCAGATGTCAGCTATATGCATCTCAATTCAGGGCCAATCACAAATGTTACTGTGTCTAATCAGATCTTATTCCAGTGTTTGGTGAACATTATCTTCCTTAATCCGTGCAGTGGGCCCAGAAGAGAGAGAGAATAAAATGACTTTCCCACAGTGTGTTGAAATAATAGCTAGCTGAGTCAGATTTGAACCCATATCTGTCTAGTTTCAAGCTGTTTTCTTAACTTTTATGCCCTTTTGCATTAAAGGAATAGCCTTTAAATACAGTGTTAGCCATAGCACATACTGTTATTTGTAAAGGACTTGTTGGTGAGTTCTCTTTGGTGGCACTCAGTGGACAACTTCACAAAGGCAGGTGAAAATGGCCATCAGGAGTCTCCTGGGGACTTAGCACTAGCTAGGAGCAGCCTTTGAGGGTGGTCCCCTTGGTAACTGTGTTACGTCTCATGGACCTGTAGGTTATGTAAGGACAGTCTAGTCAAGCCTGAAGCACGTGACTTTAATCACAGCACTCAGGAGGCAGAGGCAGGCGGATTTCTTGAGTTTGAGGCCAGCCTGGTCTACAAAGAGTACAAGGACAGCCAGAGCTACACAGAGAAACCCAGTCTTAAACACAAAAAAGATAGTCTAGCTGTGAGGACACCAGGGGACTACAGCCTACTCAAGATGGCCTCTCTTTCCCCTTCTTCAGGAGAGCAGAGATGTGCTGTACTTTGTCCTGTACTTTATACACAATACTCTGCTTCTTTTTTGAAGGGCTTGGTTTGCCCAGCACTCAGAGGTAATGGAGTTTGAAAACACAACTGCTCTTTGCAGATTCCTTTTCCTTGGCTGGCTGGTGGGTATACCCAGTGCCTGCTGGCTGAAAGCGGGCTTGGGCTGTTGAGACCAGTTTGCTCATTACATTCTTAGCCTCCCTTTACCCACATACAGCCTGGATTTTCTGCTCAAATATTACTTTACCTCATCTTAAAAACAAAATGCTCACATATCCTTCACTTTTCACATAGCTTTTTTTTTTTTAAAGTTTGGTGGGCAAGGAAAACAATTTGAAAAAAAAAAAAAAACACTTAGGGAAGTTTAAGCTGAGATGGAGTGAGTGGGTCAGTCTCAGAAAGACTGGCTGAGCACACACCGTTGGAATTTCTCTTTGCAAGCTTCACTCCACTGAACAAGAACAGTGCTTCAGGTCATTAGTTCTGGGGACATTGGGGTGACAGGGATCTCCTCTAGATACTTCATTCTGAATAGTAATAAGGCATGAGTTACACTGCAAGGACCTAAGCTCCAGAGCAGTGTTGCTCTTGTCACACCAGCTGCTCAGGTGGCACAATGCCCAAAGCCACCTAGCACCATCCGCCCCGTGGTCAGTGTGGTTAGCCATATTGGAAACCTGAGGAAGACTTCTTTACAACTGAAGTCTCCCTTGGGTTTTCATGGAAGTCACTTTCAGGAGACTGGCTCCCCAGGAAATAACGCCTTTGTCAAAGTCTGAGTTGAGATGCTCTACAATTTGGGATATGTCACGGGATGATTCTCATTAGACTGCTGACAAAGAAAACAGCCAGGATTGGTGTCTGCACTATTGCATGAGGACTTAGAGCCTGGCAGTGTGAAGAAGAGCTGGTTTCTTCCAAAACCCAGTTTAGTCTCTCCTAACACCCAGGACTTCTGCCTCTGGTTAGGCCTGGGTTCTTACACCAGAAACTTGGCTACTTTAAAAAAAAAAATTCTGGGCGGTGGTGGTGCCAGCCTTTAATCCCAGAACTCGGTAGGCAGAGGCAGGTGGGTCTCTGTGAGTTCGAGGCCAGCCTGGTCTCCAGAGCGAGTGTCAGGATAGGCTCCAAAGCTACACAGAAAAACCCTGTGTTAGAAGGACTGAGTTCTGTTCCCAGCACCTGTATATGGTGGCTCCAACCTCCTGTAACCCCAGCTCTGGGGACCTGAGATGCTTCTAGTCTCCATGGGCTCAGCACTCACATGCATACCCACACACAGACACACACGTGCACATAATTAAATGTAGTAAAAATAAATCATGTAAAATAACTTTAAAAGTTACACAATTGTCAGCCGGGCATTGGTGGTGCACGCGTTTAATCCCAGCACTCGGAAGGCAGAGGCAGGCGGATCTCTGTGAGTTTGAGGCCAGCCAGGTCTCCAGAGCAAGTGCCAGGATAGGCTCCAAAGCTCAAACCCTGCCTCAAAAAACAAACAAACAAACAAAAACAAAACAAACAAAAAAAAAGTTACACAATTGTGTCTTCCTGAGTTGTGGAAGAGCCTGTAACCAGCATGCTCTCTATTCTACCACGTGAGTTCCCGGAATTGAACTCTGTCACGCTTGGCAGCAGGCTTTACTGGCTGAGCCATCTCTCCAGTTTGTGATGCAGCCCTTTTGAAATTCATCTAATACATGATCTTCATCCAGGGGATATATTTGAAGCTAGTCCCGTACTGCACTAAAGTGATCTGGGTGTTGTGATGTTCTTGTTTCTGTTTCCATTTTAAATTGTCATGGCTGACATTGGCTGTGTCTTGGCCCCTGAGAATGTGAGCCTTCAGGAATGGGTGTTGGTTTATACTGAGGTCTCTAATTCAGATGTTAGCCTCACTATGCTGATTCCAAGCTATGTTTCCCTCCACCCTAATCTAGCATGTGCCTCACCTATGATGTTGATACTGGGGTGTCCTCCCCAGTTGTTGCTCTACCTTGCTGAATCTGGAGTTCACTGTTTCTGTTAGACTGACTGGCCAGCAAGCCCCCAGGATCTGTCTGCTCACCACCATCTCCAAGTGCTGGTTATAGGCGTATACCATCACGACTAGCTCTTTATGTGGGTCTTAGGGCTCTGAATTCACATCCTTAATGTTTGCACAGCAAGCACCTTACTGACTCAGCCATTTCCAAAGACCAGTTGTTCTTGTTTTCATTTTTAAATCTCAAATCAGTATACAAAAAGCACTACAAAAAAGATTACTTTTCCTCTTAACCCTTGGCTAATTTAGAAAGAATAAAAGCAATAACAGCCATGATTTTTATTTTATTTTGTGCTAGGCACTGTACTAACTGCTTCTTAAGGAATATCTCATATGTGCTTTATAATCACCCTAAGAGGTTGCTGCTGTAAATGTAGCCATTTTTCAGGAGAGGAAACTGAGCCACAGAGAGGGAAGGGACTTGCATTTGACTTAAATGGATTATGCCAAGTGTATTAAGCATAACTGAAATCCAGTGAGCATGTGTTTATAAGAGCTGGACTTTGGGCATACAGAACTGACAAGGCCTACCTTCCACCCAAGCTAAGTGAAGAAGCTGGCAGCTAACTGGGGTCCACAGAAACAGACCCAGTGAATGAACCCTGACAGTATTCAAGTCACTGCCCTTATCCTCTTGTTTAGCCTTGGCTCCCCAGAAGAGTAGGTCTACTCTCCAGGGAATATTTTCCTGTCAACTCTTAGGGTAAGTATTACCAGCTTGCATCAGGAAGCCTGCTGCTCTATGCTATCAAAGCTGCTACCCTTGAGTTTTGATAGTACTTGCAATAGTACTTGCCTCTTTTTCCTACCTGTTGGGGGGCGTTGGATTATACATTTAGACTGGGATACCGAATGGAAAGGATCCCCCTCCTAGTGTGGGTCTGACTCACTCTTGGCATTTTAGACATTAGGGGATTTTTAAAGCATGGAGGAAGAGCAGATTGCACATGTTCTCATAATTTTCTGTTCTTGGGGTATAACTCAGGTTTCTTGTTGGGATCCCAGGCATTAGATTTTTCCCCTTTAACTAGGACATCCCTTCTCAGAGACCACAGGAGCAGCCTAGAATGGATTGTTTTTTTATGTTTATGTTTATTTTATGCGAATGAATGTCTGGCCTGCATGTATGAATGTGCAATGCACACATGCTTGGTGCCCATGGAGGTTAGAAGAGGGCATCAGGTCCCCTGGAACCGAAGTTACAGATGGTTGTCAGCTGCCATGTGGGTCCTCTGTAGGAGCAAACAGTGACAGTAAAGCACTGAGCCAAGCCATCTTTCCAGCCCCCTAGTCTTTCATTTGTACTTTGCTTGAAGGTAGAATCTCTTTATATCTTGATTTTATTTTTAATAGTATCTAGATTCTCTCAGAACTCTGAAGCTAGAACCCAGGATCTCATACATGCTTACCACAGAGCCACATCACCAGCTCCCAAGCACTTGCCCAGCGTAGAGGAGGTGTAAGGTGGTGGAGGCCGGGCAGGATGGCACACACCTTTAATCCCACCACTTGGTTTACTTGGGAAGCAGAAGCAGGTAGATCCTTGATAGTTAAGAGGTCGGCTGGTCTCTATAGTGATAGTGAGTTCCAGGATAGCCAGAGCTACATAGGAAAGACCCTGTTTCAAAAAACAAACAAACTACACCCCCAAAGATTGTATCGTGAGTTCTTAAATGAGCAGAGTGACTTTTTGATGGTATCATGTACCATGTGTATCACAGTCATCTGTGAAGGACCACAATTGCTTTCCCTTACTCCAGAGTCCCCAGAAATTCCTTTCCAAGACTCTCTGTGGATCTTTGAGTAACCAAGAATTTCCTAGAGCTGGGCAGAATATTCAGGGGCTGAAGACCTGAAGGAAAGGTTCCAGAAAGGCCCCTATGGGAAGGCGCATTCTGTGGCTCAGGGCCTGCTCTGCATGGCCACAGCACCACCCTGCTCTGAGCTCCATTTGCTGGCCTGACCCTCTCCCAGGATCTCTTTACTGTCTAAAGTGATGGCCCTAGTGCCAGGACTTCGTCAGCCCCTGTACAGAAACTTT